ATAATGTCCTCCAGCGAGTCACACGTTACATCAATAGCGAGGAGAAACACAGAGCAGCTGATCAAAACATCAAATTAAAGTAAGGCTCGAGAAATTTTTAGAATAAATAGAGGCGCGTACTAGGATAATCGGTGAGATCATGCGCTTTGTGCAGTTCCGTCCAGCAGACGTTTGCCTGTCAAAAATATAACTGTTTTAAACTTTCGTTTGTGGAAAAATAGTCGATATACTTCTGGCTCCTAAACTGAGGGATTTCTCACTAAAAATTTCATGTGCCAGTGCACGAAAACTGAATTTAAAACCTCAGACGTGGAACATCCCTCCAAATCCCAATCTCCTAGTTTTCCGGCTTCCGAGTTTGTGACTTTCACATCAAAACTCTCATGTAGTCGTACGTAAGACCTCAGCATATCTGGGAACCTCATTTTGTGAGGTATTTGCACAAGCAGAAAACAATCTCCTGAAATTTCAGCCTCAGTTCCCAAGATAACAATTTTCACTACCAAAACTTCGTGGAAACACAGAAGAGAAAACGCGCATATAAAAGTTAAATTTGATTCTGCGAGGTCGTATTCTCCCAAAATTTCAGCTTCCTATTTTTTGATTCTGCGAGGTAATCCGCCGAAATATTCACTGGAGCATAAATGAGCACCGGCTTTGACCAAAAACTGATCTCGGATTTGCGGGGTTGCACGTGGAAAGGAAACATTCTCGCTGAATTTCAGCTTTCTAACTTTCATGGTTCCCGGGATAATTTCCTCACCAAAACTTTCACGGGACCGTACGCGATACCCCAGCGTACGGAAAAGCTGAATTCAAATTTTCTGGGTCACACAAAACAGGGATCACACTCTCAAAATTTCAGTTTACTAGCTTTGATTCTCGAGGTAATAATTTTCCCCGCCAAAAATTTCACTGGGCCGTATGTGTTATCGACGGACACAGGAGAGTTAAATTTAAGTTTTCTGGATCGGACGTGGGTAGGGGACATACTCTCAACATTTCGGTTCCCCAGTTTTCGTGGTTCCCGAGATAATAATTCTCACCGCCAAAACGTTCGCGGAGTCGCACGTTATGCTCGGAGGTACATGAGAACTAAATTTACTTGGTCACATGTGGGCAGGAGACATTTTACTAAAAGTTCAGCTTTTTAACTTTTCTGGCTCCTGACTTGAGGCTCCGGGATAAAATGCACTCGGAAGAGATACAGACACATACACACATAAACACACAAACTGGGTCTCCACAACATGTGTTTTGTGCAACTGTTGCAGCAAAAAATGCATAGAAATTCGAAGCCCCCATCCCCTCTCCCCTCCACGAAACAGACAAATTCGGCAAGAAACTAACGTATTATGGGAAGATGCAATCCAATAGTGACTAAGCGGTCGTTTCATATCGTGTACAACATGCTCGTTGATCGGATCCCACAGAGAATTCTCGCGTGAGAATAAAAAATCACAGAACTGCAAAGTTGTAATAACTAGTGCAAAATATTACCAGAATTGTCCGGACTGTTTGCAGTTGTTGTATCCCTGCTGCCCTTTCCTCAAGTGATTCTCAAATGTCATTCCCACCTTCCTTTTTTCTTCCCCCGCAACACATAACAAAATGAGACAGAGACGATGATTGCATGTAAAAAAAAAAGAAAAAAACCATACCTCAGCAACACAGAGCGACGGCTCAGGAATGTCCCGTGAAGGATCCCATTCTCGCAGATACTGTCTCAAAAAATCGCTGGCCCTTTCGCGCTGTAATCCCATATCATCCTAAAAATTTCGGCACCATTTATAAAAGTAATTTATTTTCTTTAGGAAAAGTACCGAACAAGCTTTTTTGATGCTAAAAAAAATCGGAAAATTCACAAATAACGTCAAAGCCCAGAAATGGATTTAGAAACAGCAAGAGTAAGTAGGCCGACTGCCATGTGTTGAGCTTTGGTCACAGCAACCGTGAAATATGCCAAATGTACCATCAGCATTAAAGCGATGAAACGATAGCTGATCGTAAGCACATCATAAAAAGTGAAAGTCAAAACTTCCCCTTTCTCTCTGAGAGGCGTAGGAAGTGGTCTGAGCAGACGTATGGTGTCAACAGCAACTGTCTGCTGGCCAAACTATCAATAGCAATCTTCTCCCAGGCCCGCACAGAAATAGGCTGAAGGCAATTTCAACCCCTGACGCGAAGAAGTAGAATAAAAGCTCAAATTCTGAACAAAGTGGCTGTTTCATTGTCAAGAAAATGGAATCATCAATTTTCAGTTGGCGCATAGCTCTACTTGCTATTAGGTTACTTCAAAAGATGACCTGAGTACTTACATTTTGTAGATCTTTGTGAAATCGTAAGAAATTGTTGAAGCTAACGACGGCAGAATCGTCCGAATAACATGCAAAACGTTCAGCAAAAAGCTGAAATAATTGAAAATTTTATGAAAAATAAAGCACAAAAGCCGAATAGAGATTTGTGAGCGCAGTAAAAATAACAATTAGCAAAGACACTACGAGCACTGTTTTTGCCAGCTTTCATTCATTAGTGCTGCTACAGCCAGCAAAAACACATATTGTCGAGAGGCTGTTTGTGTGTGTGTTCGGAAAGCGAGTGCATTTTGTTACCCACTTTCATCTCATGTGAAGAGGAGTAATTCGATTGTGAAGGGGATTTCCTATAGGGCCATAGTCATTTGCAAAAAATGGGCTTCATCCACTACAAAAATCCGGTGCGCAAATCTCATATAACTGATATTACTGCCTACTCTCCCACATGCCAGCATAAGCCATGTCAGATTTTTCGGTGCTAAAACTACACACATCCAGCCAATAAGCACTGCCCCCACGATGTGTGTGAGGTGATTTTTAAGAAAAATAAGTAAATGAGAGAACTCACAGAA